TTAAAATGAAGGTCTGACAATTGAGCTGGTAGCCAAAAAACCGAGCACTTCACACCCACAAGAAATATAAACTGCTGCATCTCATAGTCGAGACTTTTGAGCATATGTTCAGGTTTTTCATTTGAATGCAAAGGATAAAGAAAGTGTGAAATGATTTAGCAAATAAAATGCACAGCTTCTATTTCACCTAATATTTTTAATAGGAAATTAACTTGTCATGAAATATCAAGCCCACAATGCTTTCATATTTTTATAGAGTTTTTTACAGGTGGCTTTCCTACTGCCACATAATATTCAGTGGGGACGGAAACGTTTGAATCTGCAATGACTATACCTGTGTACACACATCAGCCACAGTCACAGAATCAAATGAGGTACTCCAGTTTTACCTTTTTCTAATGAATTGGCTGGCTGTGCCAACAAAATCAAGTTCGTCTTATGACATTTTTAGCTACCTAACATTTGTGATTCTGTTCTATAAACTCTTGCAATAAGATTAAGTAGCAAATGAATTATTAACGAAAAAAGGAAAAATTTTAGAACCCTTAAAGAAATTCAATTTGGTGGAAATTAATAGCTCTCATCTTGGAACTACTAAATGTGGAGTTCAGGGAGTTTTATAAGGAACACTGCTACTCCTTTACAACGAATCTACCAGATGGTTACCACCTATATTCTGTAACAGAGGGAAGAAGTTCAGGGAGGAAAGCAGGTGTCCTTCTCAGAGGCTCAGCAGAGGATTATTTCAACCCAAAGCCATCAACTCCACTCTGCTGTTTGCCACATGATCAGGATGCCGGCAGAGAAAGGCAGCAGAGCCTCATTAAATTCTGACTCCAGATTATACTAATTTCTATAAATGTGAAAACATAAAGCTACTGAAATGCATTTTATCTAATTTCATAACTGTAATGTGTCTGGCTCTCAGAACTTTGTTATACAAATTGAACCTAAAATTTTTTTAAAAACCTAATTAAAATGCACTAATGATCAAATATCTTCTCTCACAAACATAATTTGCATATTCCTATTAGCTACAAGTTAGTTACACTCACACTAAGCTTTCAGTTTTGAGTTGATTTCCATACATGTCAGAGAGTTAATTATTTAATACCAGAAGCAAACTTTGGGTGTTTATTTCTTTTCACTTTCCTTCTGGGCATGTATTCATGTAGTTGCCTTTGTATCCAAGTGCCCATTCCTTTTTCATCCTCACTGCCCTCACACTTCTTTGGACAATTCCCCGAGCAGCCTTATTCCTCTTATTTGTCGTCCTCGAGGTGTTTTCCTTTTTCCATTCCGTACATTCTTTTCAAAGCCACCTGCAAGCAGTTCTTGACTCTGGAATGTCTTCACAGACAGGCTTACATTAGCCAAGACAAAACCCATGTCAAAATGATAGAATAACTGTCATTTATCAAAATGAACTCCAAGTAATGAATTACTAAATTCACTCTTTATGTAAAAGCTCCAGCTGTTTTTCCATATGTGTCTCCAAGTGTTAAGTTACTGCAAAATAGTAACGTGATTTATCTATCTTCAGTTACACAGTGTTCCTTATATTGTTATAGCTGCACCCCAGAACTTAACAGTGAAACAGCAACCAGTGATAAAGAAAACATCCCTCACACTTCACCAAGATAACTGGAGTTCTTATATTTTCCCCCTACAACGGCTTCTGAAAATAAAAGCTGTCATTATAGGCCTGGTGCAATTGCTCAGTGGCTAAAGTCCTCGCCTTGACTGTGCTGGGATGCCATATAGATGCTGGTTCACATCCCAGCTGCTCCACTTCTGGCCATTCTGTCCACTTCTGGGGAGTGAAGCCCCAAAGAGGGGCTTTTGGGATGATCTTTCTCTCTGTCTTTCCTTCTCTCTGTAAATCTGCCTTTCCAATAAAAATAAATAAAAGCTTTCATTAAACTGGGCCCATAAGGTGAAAGCTGATGATATTCTGCTCAGCATCTCAGCATTCGTATTGTCTGAGTTACACACAACACTTGCAACACACTAGATGCTATAACTTGTTAATAACTTGGTGGATGAAACACCACTTTGATGTCTCTACTTAAAGTATACTCACAAGTTGTAAAATGCATCATGAAAGTCTTCATTTTCTTTTATTTTCCATTATGAAAGTTTATCCAAAAACCAGTAGGTCCTTTTAGAATTTCAGAATAGGAAAGACTACAAATATAACATTTAAAAAGGAGAAGGATTCTAGAATGTCAAAGTAATGTGTCCAAATATATACACATGCTTAGTTAGCTGTTCAAGGCAAAATTAGAATCAGGTCTCCTGAATTCTGAAATTTTTGAATTTTACCAATGCTATTTAGTTTTGGAAAAAATCAACATTTTTATGACCTTTCTATTTAACACCAATGCATCTAAGAATCATGATTAGTATGTCAAAAACCTGAGCTTGAATAGCCCATTAATCAAATAATTGGATTAATTACTTGACAGTGTTCTGTTACTAACAAACTTTTTTTCCTTCTTGCAAATCATTATGAATAAAGAACACATGACTTAAATATTTCATAAGACCACTGAGAAGGCAGAAGTTTACATAGCAAGTACAATTTTTTTATGAGATAAACTATGATGAGATAATAGAAAACTCACACAAAACAACAAGAAATTCTCATTTAAACATGCTCTGGCAGCACCTATTCTTGGTGGCACAAAGTAAAAACTGCTTATATCTAACGAGAGTACAGGACAATAATCTCTCCAGGTGTTTTGAGGGAAGTTTAAAATCTGTATAATGTAAGATAATTGATCTACGTAAACCATCTGAGGCAGGGTACTAGTTTGCCAAATAAAAGGAAATGGGTGGGACTCTGACACCCCTCTCTCTGTGCCATTAAGTGTACTGGTGCTTTGGTTAAACAGTTGCAATTTTCCATATATGCATTATGTCGTTCAAAATATTTATACTACATGCACCTGCATATTCTCAAAATTCACCAAATAGATATTTCTCAAAATGGAAAAAAAAAAAATTGGGTCACATGAAGCACAAACAGCTTTCGCATGTATTTGGTCATCACATTTCAAGTTTCTTATTCTGAAAACTATCACCTGTGGTTGTATTTTTCATTCACCAAAAATCCACATTTAAATGTGACTGTTTCCCCTTCATATTCTGGCAGTCCATGCATAAGTTCTCAGCTTGTTGTATGTGCTTCTTGTGTTAGGGATGGGAAAGTCTGAGGTGAAATTGCCATTAGCCGAGATGCTGTCCTTGCTTTTAGAAATTGGTAAATCTAGATTCCTAGACAAAAAAAAAAAAAAAGCCTTCTAGAATTATAAAAACAATGCCCTCAAAAATCCAATCACTATCTTTAGTATAATCACAGTATCAAATACATATCTGTGCCATTGGTGAATTAGCGTATTGTCCAAATATAGCTTTGGATACTGACACAAAACTACGGATGCAGCTGCTGTACTCTTCTTAGACAGAAATACAAGAAATCAAATATATGCTGTCTGGGAGACACCAGGAAAGAACACCTATCAGCAGCCAACCCTTTCCAGACCATCAAGGGGAGGGTGGCAGATAACACACAAGAACAGCAAGGTGACCAAACAGGTGTCACACTGCTGAATGAACAGGTCATTTCCCATGAATACAAGAGCCATGACTGTAGGACTGCCTGGTGCCAGAATACACTCCCTCCCAATTTCCTTCCACTACCAATGACACATGCACTTATAGGAGGGAGAATGGCGAATAGGCAAAGATCACTGCTCAGATTCGTTATGGACACTCTAAAAAAGTGTATGTCCTGGGTTTGGGTAGATAAGAGTGCTCTCAGGAATTACAGTCCTGACACCTCAAGTCAGCGTGGGGATGGATCTACTTTTGATCCCCTGCAATGGAGCAGCTCACCCAGAACAGGAAAAGACTGGATCAGGGATCTGACATGCCTAGAGATGCTGAAGGTCAAGACTAGTTGCAATGTTTAGTAGGAAGCAGGCCCAGGGGAGGGAGTGGACGGGGAGGGGGGAGAAGCGATCATGTCCTGGAAGGATCCTGGCCAAACAGGCAGTGCAGTGTACACCTCCACCTGCTTGCTGATACAGACATCCCCAGATGAATACAAGTTTGCAGAGACCTTGGGAGGCATTTACTCATTCAACAAATGCTTCTCGACGCCCTAAATACAAGGAAGCCACACCAAAAAAAAAATAAATAAATAAATAAATAAGAAGAAGAAGAAAGAAAAAGAAAAATATAAGAAAAATATGAGAGACAACTTTCTGAAGAGTCCAGGAAAGAGTGAAGAGGTGTAGGAATAAGAAGTATGGACGGGCTTTAGGAAACAAGAGACCAAGTTTACCCAGAGAACAGGGTTTAACCAATAAATAAATGCCCAGTGAATAAGGAGAAGGGGTACAAGGAACACAGGCTAGCGTTTTCTGAATCAGAAGGCAACTCAGCAAAGTATGTGACAGAGAGTTCCCGAAGACCGGAGAAACGGATGTAGACAGATTGTGGAATTCAAAGATGTCACACAAGGTCACACCAAGACCAAGAGAGTGTGGGAATGAGAGAAAGGGTTTCCTGGAAGGGGCTGGGGCTCCTTGGGGGATGCCAGAGAGCATAGATGAAAGACATGGAAATGCAAACTGCAGAACTCAGTGTCTGCTAAAGTTTGGGGGAAAGAGAACAGGTGGGTGTGAAAGAGCACCGGGACCGTTGGGGTAGAGGCATGAAGTAGAGTCCGAGGCTGGAGATGGGTACCCAGCTCCCCCACCCCAAGGGGCAGAGAGCAGCAGAGTCCTACTCCTCTCCAGTCTTCTAATCCCATCCCGTCAGACCCGAGGGCTTGAGTGTCTCTGGAATCCTGGGGCCAGAAGGGGGACGAGGCCCGGCCGCCCCCCAGCGGTCTGGCTCTGTGCTCCCGGCTGGGCGAGCTCGCCGCGCTCCAACTTTCCCTGATCCCAGCCCGCTCCCGAGACGCGCGGTCCCTTCGGCCCCCTGCTCACCGAGGGCGCCGTCAGGCGGCTGATGCTCTCGCCCAGCGAGTCCAGGTTGACCCGCCTCCGGCGCTGCACCCTCCTGGCCCCGGCCGTGGCGGCGGCGGCCGCGGCAGAGGCAGCCGGGGCCGGGGCGGCGGTGGAGGTGGCGGTGGCGGCGGCAGCAGCGGCCGCAGCGCTGGGCTCGGGCGGCCCGGGCGGGCTCCGGCTGCCATTCCAGCAGAGCCTGGACAGAGGGCACTCCCCCTCGTCCTCGGGGCTGGTCTCCAGGTAGTCGGAGCCCAGGGAGCTGAAGGACTCGGATGAAATCTTCCTCCGAGACATGCTGCTGGCGGCGGTTGGCGGTGGCGGTAGAGGTGGTGGCGGCGGCGGGACCCGCGAGCGGGGCTGCGTTCAGGCGCGTCAGGACCGCGGGGCGCTGCGGTCGCGCACAGCCGGGCCACAGTCCCCGGGACCGCGCAGCCCCCTGAGCCCTCTGCTCATGGTGGGAACTTGAGGGCGCCTCGGGGCCCGGGCTCGGCGGCGGCGGCGGCACCGGGCTGAGCTACCTCAGCTGCTGCTGCTGCTGCTGCTGCTTGGCGCGGCGCCGCCTCAGCGCCCGCCTCGGCGCATCGCCGTGTGCGCCGCGCTCCCGCTCGCGGGCGGGCTCGGAGCGGAGTGTGTGACCGCGGGCGGGCAGGGCTCAGGGCCTCGCCCGCGGTCGGCCCGCCGGGGCGCCTCAGGCTGCTGCCGCCCGCGCTCCAGCTTCGCGCCCTCCCTGCTCAGCTCTCCTCCCGCCCCTCTGCACCGGCTGCCCGCCTCCCTCCTTCTCCCTTTATCCCCCCCGCCCCCCAGGCTCGCCCTCCGCCGGTATCACGTGTCGCCGTCATACTCATTGGGAGTCTCTGCCTTCGCTTGTCGCCACGTCTCCAGGAGCAAGGAGGACACTTTGTTGCTGTCCTCTGCGCGCCCTCCGCGGCTGCCACCGCTCCCCGCTCGGAGGGAGGAGTGCACCGTGGCCCAGATGGGACCAAAGGGCCCCTAGCCCAGATGCCTTGGACCAGGGCCCGGGAGCCGCCACCGGGCGAGCGGGGAGGCTCCGACGGGCGCTGGAGGGGAGAGAGGAGCGCGGCGGGGGAGCGGAAGACCTCCCTCTGGAGCCCACCTTGGGAAGCCTGACAGCGCCAAGTCGGGGGACGGGGGGAAGTGTCAGGGTCCACACGTGTCTTCCCTCCACTTCCCGCTCCCACCCTCTCCTAAGTTGATTTTGGAAGTTCCGAGGTTAAAAGGGAAAGGCCAAGTGGTGCAGCCCGCCCGTGACAGTGGAGACACTTATGGTGGAGGATGAGGGAGGAAGAGAAGGGAAGGGGTCAACATGTTGGCGCCTGCTCTGCTGGAGCAGCTCATGGAAACCAGGGCTCCTCGCTTCGCGCGAGGCCGCGTGGAAGCGGAGCAAGCCAGACCCGGGCAGGCGAGGACAGCGGCTGCCTGGGCAAGAGCCTGGCCACGGAGCCTGGCTCCGCGGGGCGCATGGGCTCCCGCCCCCGCCCGCTGCGCACCAGTGCTGGACAGCTCCGCAGGCCACCTGCAACCACGTCTGTCGGCGTGGTGGGCAGGGGGCCAGAGAACAGTTCCTTTTCGGACTCCACCATCAGGACTTGTCACTGATGGGGCGGGGAGACACTAGGGAGCGACCCCATGCCACTCCTCCGCTGGCTCTTTGCTGCAGCTACATGATGTGTTTGCACTTGGCTGCTCAGAAATCTAAGGGGAGTAGGGAGGCAGGCTTTTCACAGCCCGGGAACAGGCTCTTCACAGCGTGGGCACATCTCCGGCCGCGAGTTTTCAGCCTAGTGGCTTCATTCCAAACCTTGCCTCATTCTAAGTCCGTCCTAGCAGTGCCTAGCCCCATTTTCCTTGTGTTAACTCCAGGAAAGCCTCTAGTCAATTTATTCTCGCGTTAGTTTAAGGGTTGGGAAGAAGGGACACCAGGCTATGTTTCCCACTGAAGCAATGCAGCTGGATCCCCTCTTCTGCCTACGAAAAGTAAAGTTCCCGCGTGGTGACTTCACATCCTAAAAACGCAAGAGCCCAAGTGGGATTTGTTTTGATTTTATTTTTCCTTTCCTCTTTTCTCAAAGGACTAGTCCTTGCAGGTGAAGATAGATGGGTTTTTGTGGGTCATATTCATTTAAAAAGTAACAAAATCATAAGCCTAACACTGTGTACTTCCACTCTGATTTTCTTTTAACTCTAAATTTTCCCATTTGTTTAGGAAGACCAAAATATGAAAGTTGCTTGAACATTCCAACATGCACCCCAAGGGGTTCACAGAAATGTTTATTCCCAGATCTTATATGGATGTGAAAGATACAAAAACCATGTGTACTGTTACAAGCTTATCTTTCTCAGCCTGCTGAATAATTCTCTAACTGCATAGTTTCTTATCAGAGGAAATTCTGGCTCTCTTTATTGTTCACATTACTTGGTGTGTCTGTTTTGAGTTCCCTGTGAACTCCAATAATTCAATATGCATTTGTTCCCAATGGAAATTATAAATAAACTACACTTTTAAACAGAATGAATAATGAACAGTCCTTGTAAAATGTTTCACTGACCGTTTTGTTCAGTGAAACATTCCTTTGGAAATTACACTATTACAACTTTGAGGGAACAAATATTCCTTGCTATGTGCTATCAGTTGCCGCATAATATGTTAGTGTCTTCTTTAGCAATCACATAGTCGTCAGGTTCTTTAGAATCTTACAATTATAGATTATTAAAGAGACTAAATAAAACATCATCTTTACATTTTTTTCCAATAATCTACTGTCAATCTAAAAAAGTTATTTTGTAGATACAAGTAGCCTTCAGATGGACCTTAGACCTAAAACATGTTACTCATAATTCTAACGCTTGGATCAAAGACAGAATTACAGAGTACAAAACAATGAGTGTCATTTATTAGTAAAATCAACAAGAGCCCAAGAGTCTTCCTGTTTACACTGGAAGTTTATTGCTGGAAAGAACTCTGAATGTATTGGAATTTTTTTTTCTTCATGTGAACTGGTTAACTCAAAGATTGCTTACAGAATCCAGCTAGATGAAGTGCTCTGAAAATTTTCTGAAAACGATCCTGAGAAGCCTAGTTATAGACAGCACATCATCTACTCTGGCTTTCAATGGTTTCCTTTGTGTTTCTGTTCAGGAGCTCTAAGTATGAAGAGTGCTATATTCTATATTTGAATTAACATTTGTAAAAGGAACCATAACCTAGTCTCCGAGAGAGAGAGAGAAAGAGAGAGAGAGAGAGAGAGAGAGAGAGAGAGAGAGAGAGAGAGAGGGACTGACTGACTCTGACAGCCAGTAAAAGCCTTCCAAATTTTTTAGGCAAAGAATTTCCAGCAGAGTGCTTTGGCTTTAGGAAAAGAAGCCTGCAACAAGTTCATGCTCACAAAATCTATGTGAGGTTTATTGTATTTCAATAACATCCTGAAATCCCAGTCTCCTAGTGGGAAAGGAAAAAAAAAAACCAGAAATGTGTTTTGTTTATTTGTGAAGTTCTTGAGGGCATCAGAGACTGATTCAGCTTCCAGAAATTCTCACAAAGCAGATTTCTACCTTACTCACAGTGGTGACTGTACCTACCTTAAACTCCTTTCCTTCAAAGAGCTTCATTTAATTTTATTTTTACCCTTTCTAGAGAAGTACTTAGAGAAAAATCATCCCTGTCAAAATCAAATAAAAACTGCAATTAGTTCTCATCACCCAAATTCTTTATTTCAGAGCTCCCAGCTCTTTCCTAATTTCTTTTCATCCATCTAAGTCTGCAGCAAGACAATCTGCAACATCTGTATAAGCTTTCCCTGAAGCACAACTTTTTCCTGATATCAGAAGATTAAGGGAACCCATCCCTACACCCTACAGTCGTGTTTAAACCTAGCAACTCTCGGGAATTATACTTCCAACCTTAAAGCACATTCACTAAAGGATTCCTAACTAGGGCAAGTTCTTCAGTATCTTTAACCTAAAAACTCTCTCTCTCTCTCTCTCTCTCTCTCTCTCTCTCTCTCTCTCACACACACACACACACACACACACACACACACAGCCTTAACCTTAGGTCCACATTTCCTGAGTGAGATCTGTGTCTCTTCCTACATTATTATCTCTTTCTCTCTTAAGAGAAGGCAAATATACTTTCTTAGTGCAAGACTGTGAGCAAATAAGAGTGAGGATTCTGTATTTCAGAGTCCTGCATAATTTTGTAATAATAAATATAAAGGGGAATATTGAATGGCTTGAGAAGAGCCATCTGCTTTACTCCCATATCAAAAGGACACATGAGAAACAATGTAATCCATCATCCTAAGGCTGTATTTTATCATGAAACCAGAAAATGTACAAGTCTTGCTTCTCAAAAAAAAAAAAAAAGAACAGAAAAAAAGGAGAAGTGGGAGGAAGAGAATACAGAAAGAAACAAAGTGCAGCTAGTGATACACTAAGTAGAATTTATACCAGAAAGTTACTTAGGAGGGAGATGGATGCCTTTTGTGGGCCAGTGATCAGTGTGCTCTGATGCCTGTGGCAGACATCACTCTTTGTTGAGTGGTTCTGCCCTTGTACATCCCAGAAATCCATCCTTCTCTCCAGAAGAGACTCTCTGAGTCACTGCCTCAAACACCAACATCCGCCCCATGACCACCTACAAGTCCGTTTTCTGTCAGCACCATTGGCTCTGCACATATTTAAGTTGGAACTTTTTTTGAACACCAAGTACAAGCTGGAAGATTATCGTATCTTTTACACACATTTCTGCAGACCTCGGCCATGTCTTTACATGGCTAATAATAGTAACAGTTTATCCCTAGTAGCCTTTAGTTATTTTCTTAAACATTTATTTCCAGCTTGTATCTCTTTCCAAACCCTTTTGCTTTCTAAATCTATGTAAAGGTAAATTAATATTAGTTAAGAACTGCCTATGTACCAGAGTCTATTTATTTATTGCTTCATTTGAATTGTCACAGTACCACAACAGGACACATTTTCCAGTTATTTAAATATGTAAGCTGTGGCACATGATCTTAAATGTCTTGGAAACCACAAATATTGGAGTCTGAATTCCAATTCTGAATCCTATGCCCACATTATTTCCACTGAAGTACATTTCTTGCCTGCCTTGTCTTAAAAATATCTTAAAAACATAGAAAAAAGCATAATGTGAATGGTTTCCTGCAATAAAATAAATAACACAAACACTATTAATCTGTTTGAATTATTTCTTTCAATATAACAGCTTGTGAAAACGCTGACATATACAGAAGTTTTACTAGTTACTGGTGCAGTCACTGGTTGCTTAACCTGTAACTCAAAGACCTCACCTCTAAATTAAAATAACTAGA